AGCTGTGTTTAGAAACGTAAAAGCTACACCAGTCTACCCATCAAACTTCCTGTTAATGAAATGCATTTCCTCCAATTTCACAATAAAAGCTGTTCAAGGTAAAAGTAAGAGCTCATAAAAATTTCGCCCTACATGGTAGCATGCAGTGAAGTGTGCAGATCACATAAAGTAAATGTTGATTACCAAATCGGTTTTTGAGGGTTGGTGAATAAATTTACCTTTTTGTTAAAGTGTTTTTGTAATTTTTTTGTACGTCGTTTATTTAGTATTTGTGTGAACTGGTCAAACAAAACAGGCGCTTATAGTGAAGAGTTTTTTTTAAGCTTGTGTTGTTACATTTTGTCACAATTACTACATTAAATAAGGATTCTATTACAGTGTTTTTGCACCGCTCAGATCTTTCATAAAGAAGAAAAACATGAAAACATCCAGCACAGTAACAAGTTTTAACCACTTTGTTACATCAGAAATCTACTTCTGAAAAATGGGCTCGATTAAGTAAAACCCAGTTAACAGAGTCTGTGTGTTCACTGCACTTTACCGGACTCGTTAAACTCATTTCAGCTCTATATTTTCTACTAGTGTAGCTTTTCATGACTCACAGCTGGAAACCCCACAATTATTTTTTTGTCATTAAAAAACAAACAAAAAACCAACCAAACAAACAAAAATGTTACAGAAATGTTCTATTGTTATTTGAAAAAATCAAAAGAATAAAGTGTAACAGCCTGATCAGCTGGTGATCATTGGGACAAATATTGCATGTTGCTGTTGGAGAAAACTGATCTCTTCAAACATTCGACTGCTAAAACACAGCACGTAGTGCACACGATGATGGAGGCTTCGTTCACAGCGAACAGCACTGAAACTACAGGGCTGCCCACCACGTGAGAATTCACAGCGTCTTATTTTTCATATGTTAAAGGAAAAAGGCAACTTGGGGTAAAGCAAGTTTCTCTCATCTTTCATAACTGAAGAAACAGTCAAACAAAAAACAAACAAACAAAAACCATTAAAAACTGGCAATTTTATTGCCCCATCAAAAAGAATTTAAATAAAAAAAGTGATTCTAAGCACCGTAATTAGACATCAACACTCAACACTAAGCACAGGGGGAGGAAAAGAAAACGTTTGATCATTCATATTTGCATATTTTTTTATATTGGTCCATCCATTATCACTTCTTTATGGAGACCAGACGTCTGGTCCTTTTTTCCTCCTTATTTTCCCTTAATGAATGAAAAAACTATGAAACTATCTACATGCATGTGGCCTCACTGGGTGAGAGGATGAGAAGAAGAAACAGGCACCGACCACCAACGACAGCATACGCAGTGAAAGAGTCTCATAGCTAGTCACTTCAGGTTAAAGGGGGAAAAAAAGAAGAAATGATGAGGAATCTCGAGTGTACGTCACTAGAAAAATGACACCGATGACGCTCCGGAAAATATACATCTTTTTTTTTTTTCCTTTTTTAAATACACTGCAGGAGGGCGAAGAGAGGAGAGGAGTCGCCGCCAGATGTTCTCAGGTAGGTTCATCAAAAGGTGCGACTTTTTTTGGCAATATTACAAGCATTTGGGTTGTTAAGAAAATGAAATGTGCAACAAAAAAACAAACAAACGGTCAAATCATGTAACCTCTCTAAGATCCAGCTCAGGAAAGATTGCTGTACATTCCCTCGGCTTCAGTACAAACTCAAAACTTCTTGGTTTTATCCAACTCATAAAAAACAAAACAACAGTCTAGTCCCCCCAAAAAAAGAAACCAAAAATGTGCATAATTACAATAAAAATCTCTCATGGAAGATTTTTTTTTTTTTTTGGTCGGCATCTTTTAAAGCCGACTTTTTGACCCTGTTCCCAATAAGTGACTTTAGGACAATAAAATTTTCGATAAAAATGGTAAAAGGTGCTATCCACCGCAATCGATTCGTGAAAAGAATAAATTGCATTAAAGTCAGCGAGCCTTTTAATCCACAATTTAATGTTTTTTT